TCCTTACCACCAAAGACCTCTCGAGCATTCTCGGCAAGCGTCGCGCAGTAGCGCGTGCAACAAACAGCGAGTTCTCGCTCAGCTTCTTCCACAAGGTCTTCGGTAGCGCCAAGTATGTGTCATTACGTCATTCGTTTACAAGCACGCTCAACGTTTTGCAACAGTTCGTCAACACTGCTCACAATATTTGGAGGCCGTGTAGAGGACCTGCGCAGCATTGTTCTTCACGAGCGTATTCCAGAAGGCTGGGAGTCACGCGTTCGCGAACCCTATGGACTGACTTTCACACACTTCAACAAGACCGTACTGGCAGTTGAATTCGGTGTGCGCGAGAGGGATTGGGCGGAAGCAGCGCAGGAAGCAGCAGCACGTCATCGCACTGCTTCAGTTTAGGATCTTCCAAAAGACGTTGGATCATGTCATCATTATTCCCCACATCTCACCACTGACGACATTACGTTGCGTTCATGACTTGCTGCTAGTATATGCTCCTGTATATTGGATGATGTATGTTGATGCCCTGGATACTCAAACTCTTACTCGGAGACATCCGTCGTTTGAGGTGAAGTCGTCAAAATTCGCTGCTAGTACTCGCATGTGTATGGGGCAAGTTTGACAATCTCTTTACTTCTGAGATTGACCCAGCGAACAACTCCTTCGTATGACGTCTGGTGTATGTAACCTTTCATTGACGTGTAGCAGAGCTAGCATTGGCTTTGAATATATCAAATACCGGATGGTGATGGTCGTTGCGATGTAGCCCGCTCTATCATTTCATGATATTCGTGAAAAAGATTATGCATTGCAACGAAACTAATCAAAGACCAGCGCAGCTGCACTTTATATAAATCTCCGTATGGGGTCTGCTCCAGGCCCAATATCGTGCACAACGTAGTAGCTGAAGAACAATACCTTGAATGTCAACGCTAACACTGCATGCAGTACGCCAACCACAATTATCAGTAAACGAGTGGCTTTTGCATCGGCCTAAGGGAGTTGTCAACAATCTAAATCAGGCGAGGGATATGACCATACCATCGCCAATATTGGGTACACGTTCGCTACCAAGAAGTATCCTGACAAGCAGAACGCGAGTCCCACCAGAACCCAACGCAAAATAGAGATGGGTATGACACATAGTATCTGCAAGACAACGGTTACTCAAAAACGGTGCACCTAAATTGTGTCCTTACCGAAACCGGTATCCAAACGAATAACGAATAACCCCAAACACCAAGTGCTTCCGCTACGCCCCATTCACCAACGCCAAAGTAGCGTAGCGCGAGCCACAGGAGAACAGGTACTGCAAACGTGTATATATACACGATCGTTGCTGCAAGACTAAGTAGGCCAAAGTCATATTCATACGCAGCTCCTGGGTCAGAAAGGTAGGACGAGATGCTTGCTGCAAGGGACGAAGACAGAAATAACGCCAGTATAAGCGTGGTTGGGATCCAGAAGGGGCCGTATAGGTCAGCGCTGGGTGTAAGAATTGTCAAGTAGGAAGGTGAAGTGGGGAGGAGCGTCGTATAGCATCGCTTCAAGACAGTCGAGGTATCAACGTCAAAGTATGGTTGATAGTAATCGACTGTCCAGAACCCAGATGAGCCTTTGTGCGTAGTGTGATCTGTAAGATATCCTGGATACGCGTCAGGGGAGAAGATGCGGCAGAATTTTCGACGTACCTCGGTCAAGGTTTGAAGCCCCAGACTGTGTTCGTTGCTCTGCTCTCGCGTCTGTTCCAAGGAAAGCTGCTTGGGTTGAATGTCTGTTTACGCACTTCGAGACAAACGTGCTCACATTTGAACTCGAGACCCTCTGGTCCTTCTTCTAGTCGCTATGGACCATTAACACGGTGAGAAATCTTGTAGTAGTATATGCTACTCACATCGTCTGCGTCGACAGCGACATAAGCCATGGTACTTCACGTATAAAAGCGCAGAATGAATGCGATGTCTACGAGAGAGGGTCACTGTCCAGGGACTTCTGGAGACACAATTCGACGAGGACCCCGGAGATCTCCTCGTGGACAATATTGGCAATATTGAATAAAATTAAATAGATTAAACTGAAGGGGGGACAGAGACACCCAGGGGACATCTTTATTTCATTTCGAATACATGCGGCGCCTTTCGTTCTATAGTAGACCATCGCGGAACCGTAGAGTGTCCAGGATGCGACTATTGGCAATACTGATGTTTAAGAAGAGAATCATCACATTGATGACATGAACCTGGTTGAGCCCTTTGATTCCGGCCAGGGTTACGCCTGACCGGGATGAGAAGGTTGGTTCTATGAATCAGGAGACACGACATTTTAATGACCCATCAACGTTTCAACAACGAATGGTGATGCTGCCAGTGCCGCGCCCGCATGCGAGCCATTGGTGACCAATAATAGTTGTTAGAAAGATTGAAAGTGCCATCACAGCTGTATTCTGATCGGAGTGCTGAAGCGCTGATGCCCCACACAATAAGACTAATCGCAAATACGCACTTGAAGCTTGATATAGAACACGAAGATACGAACAAATGTTGACTTGATAGCTTTGAGAATCATTTCCCTCAGGTTCTATGCTTCTCAAGCCGTGACTCGCCATGCAGATGTGTGTAAACACCGCAATGGTTAACGTGCTCCAGAATCCAAGAAAGGCCTTCTCGTCTACGCGCTTAGTAGCAGACCCACTCAGGTGGCTGCTGGTCATGACAGTCTCGAGGGCGAGAATCACAATCGCTGCAAAAAAAAAAATCATGCAAATATATTACATCTTCTTGCGTGCAAATCACCACATTCTTGTTGGAAGGGGGTAGACGACTAGAATAGCCAGGTATACACCTGGTCACTGGTCAGTCAGGTGCGCTGGTTGGTAACATGCCTCACAAGATAGGGGCAAACATACATGCATAGATCACAATTTATGCTTGATTTCCTTCTTGGCAATCTTGCTGAAGCGCTCAGCAGGTATTCCACTACTAAATCTCTCCGCTTGAGCATAACTTTCTCGCAGATTCACGGCGTGGAAGTCATTTTTCTCGTTCAAACCAGCTTTGATGAGAGTTTTGATGGCGAAGATAGAGGCGGGAACTAAACCATCGAGTTCCTTCTTGAGGTGTTGGTGAACCGTAGAGTGGAATTCTTCTGTTGATTTCGATGGAAAAATCTTGCTAAATCATTATCAGGATGGGGGAGGAAAGGTCGGATGTGGGAACACGTACTTGACAAATCCGCATTCAAGCATCTCTAATGCACTAATCTTCTTGTTAAGAATAAGAACCTCGTTTGCCTTGGCGATTCCCACTTGACAATATCATGAGAAAAGGTCATATAGCAATGAATTCGCTTACTGCGGTTGACAAATGAAACACTAGCCCCTCCTTCCGTTGCAATGCCTGGGAGGGTGGGAGTCTCCAGCGTGTATTGAAGGAAACAATCAAACGCGCATACCCAGCAATGACATGCCAACATTCAACCAGGCCTCTGGCACGGCATATATGAAATCAAAGTTACCAAGGAAAGCTACGAAGACTGATTGGAGATGGCGCGCATAGAATTTATAGTGAACGTACCAGCTGTTAAACCTAACCTCGAGATCACCACTTAACCCGGTTGCAGGACATCAATGAAGTTGCATACCTATCACCGGCCCATTCAGTGCTGCAACAAGAATTTTGCTGTGACTATAGATCTTTCATGATAGGAATAATCGGTCGGCGACACTATGGAAAAGTAAGGATTACAACGTACAGCGTGTGTGCAATCCGTGTTAGCAGCCACTACCTCATGGATGAGGTAATCCCTCATCGAGTATTGAGTCAGAGTGTTCGGAACGTCACGGACCCTGCCTGTCGTTGCCACCGTTTGCGTCAGGTCCGAACCACTTTCCGAAACAATAAGCACTAGAAGTAACGAAACGCTTGCTCTGTGGACTTACGCACAGAACCACTTCCCATTCGCTATGCAAAGATAAACGGTTGGTGTAAGAAACTCCTGAAAAATTTGCTTGCCTTGCCATACAGTTGCCACTACATCTTCTCTTTTATCGATGGCCCGTAAAGAGTTGGCAAATGCGTCATAGTCTGAAAGTCGATGGTTACTCGGTCAACGTAGTTTGCTCAAGCACACCACAAACCTTCTAGTGTTAGCGCATTCAGATGGCGAGGTTCATTCAAGGTTATCGTCGCAATGCCCTGTGAAACGTTCACCAAGATTTTACCAGCAGGCATGGTTAAGATGGCGTCTAAGAAAGCGGGCATTATCCAAAGACAACTCAACTGCGATATATATGTAAGGATTTCGTTACATGTTCATATAAAAGCACTGCAATCAGCATAATCGCCAGAAAAAGACTCTCAGGCTGACAGGCCGTGTTCCGAATACACATGCGCGGAATGAATATTTCATCGATAGCCGTCAACCACGACAACTATACCTTTGGCGTGCGTAGCTCCTTCAAAATCTACAAATAAGTCCTCATGGAAAGTTTTATGTGCAAGCTTGAAAAGATGGTATTTACATTGGAAGCCAGTTGTTTGTCGCACATTGATATTGAAAAGATAAGGAGGCGCCGCCGTCCCTGTGCTAGTGTCGGACCCAGAGATTCGGCTCGTCATAAAACGTGCCTTATAGAAACACGTAAGTATGCGGAAATGGCCTATACGGGGGATCCGTAGAGTGCAGGGAGGCGGTACTAGTATCAACAGGGCTGGACGACGAAGCCGCGACCCGCGGTAAGATTATGTCGCGGTGTGAGTGGTCCCAAAAATGCAGTGAGTTTATTATCGTTCAGATACTCTGTAGGGGGCCTACAGTTTGAAGTATATTGAGGGTGTAGACCCTTGATTAGAGCCCATATGAGGCGAGCTGTTGATTGACGTCGGACTGGTAATTCTGGGTTTAACTTTGAATGGATATCACGCAGATTGTTTGAATTTTGAATTTGAATTTTTATATTTGGTATAAAGACTCACAGTAACGTGACGTATAAGCCTTTTCGGGGATAACATCTCCTTCTGGACAAGCTTCACAACTACCATGAATCGGTACTAAGTACTGCAATCTAGAAAGGTACACAATGACACAGAAGCTGCCTCCTCAAGCTCGCAGGCTCCGCACCATCATCGTCACGGTTCCCATCATGGCAGCAACGGCATGTTCGTCATTCTTCGATGTTTTAAACTTCATTCTGGTCACTCACATTACCTGAATTTGCCCGCAGACGTACTCTACGAGCGCCTCGTGCTCGGAAAACCTCAAAGAACACTGCCTAGGGAGGCACCCCAACCTCTTTCTACAACCAATGAATTACTGCCCGAAAGCTCTCATGCTGGGAGTGAACGCTGGTCAAAAGGAGAATGAACATTTGCGTTGTGAACTATAGAAGGTGGAAGGGTGTGCGAAGGCGCTCTATGTAAAATAATGCCAAGTCCTCGAGGCTCACGATCATATCGTTGGCTCTGTGCAGTGCTCTCCGCAATACTATCGAGTGATATGTCAAACGAGATCATTTGTTCTCGTCTGTCTGGGATATTATGCGTGTTCCCGAGACACGTGCGGGGTTGAATGAGCGATCGCAGTCTGCGTATGCTGCGCCTATACCGAAGCCTGTTGAAAGAGCAATAGGCCATGTTCGTCCTGTAACGTGTCGGGTTAGAATATGTGGAGAAAATAGAACAAGACACAAACTTCGGAAAGCAATGACGGATGCAACGACTCCAACGCTGAAGCCTACACCGCTGCACAATTTTCAGATATTCCTTCCAACTACAAATAAAAAGCAAGACTCACGCCTTCACCAAGAGATCGGCCACTTGCGGACGCAGTCAGTCGACTCTTCCAACTCAGAACAATAAAAGCACATACGACACCTGTCATACTGGAAAGACCATTAGCTTCGAACATTGTGTTTGACTATCAAAACACACCTTCTGGCTAACAATGTTTTCACTTGATGACGCTTTTTCAGACATGGCTTTGGTTTGGCTTTGGTATGAGATGACGGTCCCGAGCTCTTTGCCACAGCGGACGCAAACGGCAAAGACATAACCCCTCTCGTGGGGGTCGACAATCTATGAATTCGGAGCGAGCCATATGCGCAGTTCATGGAATCATAGCCTACTGGGACACGATCCGCCCTTGTCTGGACTCTGCAGGTCCTGAGTGTACATCTAGGAAAACTCCAAGGTATATTAATTCTCAGACATGGCGCACCAGTCGCCCATGATAGCGATCCCCAAGAAGACGACGGGGGACGTCGATTGGACAGCTCCCATACGCAATCTCATTGCCAAGTCTTTCGGGGAGAACCCAGACAATTACACACAGGAGTGCCAAGCGCTGCAACGCTGCAGGCAAGACGCTGTAAAGGGAGCAGGCAGCGATATGACAGGTTCGTCGCTCAAGCAATCACGATCTTAGGGCATTCACAACTTTACTTCCCAGGTCGTGATCTGCTCTACAAGTACTTTGGGCAACTCGAGATCCTAGAGATTCGCTTCCCAGAGATACGAGTCAACTTCCCGTGGAATGATGCTTTCACGAACAAGCTGACTATGCAGACAGCTATTGCGTATGAGAAAGCCTCTGTTCTATTCCAGATCGCAGCTACGCATTCCGCCATTGCCGCTTCTCAGAACAGGTCCGATCCAGAGGGGCTCAAACTAGCCTTTTACTACTTCAAGACATGCGCAGGCATGCTCACATATATTAACGAGAATTTCTTGCATGCACCCTCGACTGACCTCAGCCGGGAGGTGATCAAGTTTCTGGTGGGTGTCATTATGGCGCAGGCTACAGAAGTATTTTTGGAAAAATGCATCGACGAGAAGAAAGCACCTGCGTTGATAGCCAAGATTGCCTCCCAGTCTGCTTCTATGTACACCTCCCTGAGCGAGGAGGTGAAAGATTTTATGGGTAAGGGCATATTCGACCGCAACTGGATCACTCTCATCCAGGTATTTCCATATATTGAAACACGAGATTAATATTGACATTTTACACAGATAAAGTCTAAACACTTTGGCTCTATCGCACAATACTATCGCGGTCTAGTTGACAATAAAGCGGGGGCCTACGGCGAGGCCCTTGTACGGTTCACCCTCGCTGAATCTCTCGCAAAAGAGGCTAATCGCTCTGCTGCATCATTTTCTGCTTTATTTGCCCACGTATCACCTACGCTTCCCGCAGATGCTGGGCCTTCCATCTCCGAACGTACAAAGGTACAGCTTCAGCTGAGCACAGACCGCAAGACAGAAGCGCAGCGCGATAATGACCTCATCTACAATGCTGTCCTTCCATCTGCCGATGCACTGCCTGCTATCGAAAAAGCGGTTGTCGCTACGCCTATTTCCATCCAAGAGGTGTATCGCGCACCAGATGTACAGAATGTTATAGGCGCGGATATCTTTGTCAAGTTAGTTCCGTTGAGCGTGCACGAGAGCGCCAGCGTGTACTCTGAGGAGAAGGCAAAGCTTGTGCGTAAAGAGGTTGAGAACGCAGAAAGCGCCGAGGTCGAGGTGCGCAGTGCACTGGAAGCGATGGGAGTGCAGGCAGGACTTGCCAGGTTCAAGGCGATGGCTGAGGGTAGCTTAGGCGGGGAGGAAGAGATTCCCTTGGATGTACGCCGTTGGCGAGAGGATATCAACGTCATGGAGGACAGGGAGGGTATCGACATACTTTTGCAACAGATGGCTCGTCTCAAGGAGACTGTCAAAACAGAGCTGGACAATATTTCGCGGGACCTTGATGTCGAATCAAGAGAGTGCGAGACGATGCGGGTCAAGTACGACCACCTGTGGACACAAGAGCCATCTGCATCTTTTACCAAGTCTATTCGGCAAGACTTAAAATCTCATCTGGGCGCTTTAGACGCTGCTGCCGTATCCGACCAACAGGTATCGATGCTCTGGGAATCGGTCAAATCTGACATTCGACTGTTACTATCACCTGACGTCGAGGATGTCTTCCGCGCTAGCGCCCAACGTGATGCCCCTTTAGAAAGTCTGCTAGATCTTGACATCGGTGCCGAGGCGCACGATGAAAAGGAGCGAATCAGAATCAGACAGTATACTACTGAAATCGAGGAGCGACTGGGACGGTTGAAGAAAATTGCTTATGAGCGAGGTGAAGTACTCAAAGAACTAAAAGACAAGGTAATGTACACAATAATATTATTTGGATTCAACTGATATTATTCCCACATAGATCCAAGCTGATGACGTCTCGCACCTGCTGCTTTTGAATCGCCGTAACCCTGGTGCTGAGCAATCGTTGTTCGCCGCAGAACTCGAGAAGTTCCGGACATACCAACAACGTCTTGGAATCACTGTGCACAATCAGCAAGTCGTGTTGAAGGAGATCCAGGGACTGTGGAAGAACCTACGAGACCTTGCTGGGCGCGGACCTGGCGCAAAGAAGTGGGATGAGCGTGAGCGGCGGAAGAAGGACACCGTACGCAGGTTCTCGAATGCGAGAGATGGATATATGGAGGTCAGGGATGGGTTGACGTATGTGTATTCTTTTCCCCATTCATCATATCTGAAATTTGGCTCAGGAAAGGACTGCAGTTCTACCAGCAACTTACTGACCTGAGTGCTACACTTACTGTTAGCGTTAAGTCCTTTATCACCGACCGTCGATCGGAACGCGACAGACTTGTTGGGCAAGCGGATATCCAGCAACGACTTGCGGTACCCCAGACACCTGCTGAAAAGCCTCCCTTACCACCGCCGCCGCGGCGCTCTGCCCCATCTCTGGACTCATCCTTCGCATCTATGAATCTGCAAGGAAGCCAGAATCCAGTATCTCCTCCACCAAAACCGCCACAGGCGCCGTACTCCACATTCCCTCCTCCACCCCAGTCAATCAATGCATATTCAAATCTCCCGCCACCTCCACAACAGCCTGCACGCCCAGCGTACACAAATCCAGTATCGTCAAACACGCCAAGTGATCCATATGCAAGTTTGGGGGCGTTTGGGTCTCAGTTTTCTACTCCACGCGCCGCCCCTCCAGTTCCACGGCAGCAAACGCATTCGGCTTCGCCACAAAGGCAGTCTCCTTTTTCCTTACCACCACCTCCATCACGACCGCAGTACGCTGCGAATCCACAAATTCCACAGACATATGTCCAGCAAGCTCCACCTCCGCCACAGTCATGGCGGCAATATCCTCCTCAGACACAGCCAATCCAGCAGGGTTCACAGTACCAGAACATGTCTCGGCCTCCCCCACCTTCACAAGGTCATGACACTCAGCAATATTACCAAGGTTATGGAAGATGATAATTTACGTAGATTCTGATAGAATTGAAGTGTGTACGCTTGGAAGGAAGGAGGTTTCATTGGGGATGCAAAGTAATGGAGTGCAGGACCCATGTCGCCGGAATATAATTGCTGGCGTCGAAATTTTCATCGATTATTAGTCTAATGCCTAGCCTGGTGGGAGTTGGTATCATGAGTCGCCACCATACAGAACTTTCTTTCCCAATTCCACTGCACGCTGCTCCCACCGCCAGGCGGTTCCGAATAAACCAGCAACCTCTTCGTTCCACTTGGACTGAATGAGTGATGTTAGCGGATGATGCGTTATATGCGTGGATGCAGGTGGAGGAGAGGGAATTGTAGTCGAGGCGTTAGCGATACGCTCCGAGAGGACATGGATACTGTGTAACATGTTTAGTTGGCGTCATAGAGGCAAAAAGCTGGGATATGGACGAACTCGGCACGATGCTGGGCAGTCCTGTGATATGAACGATGAACAGATTTGTTTTGAATTCCTGCAACATATGGTTGCTCACCTGGTTTGCACCAAGTTTGAAAACCCATGGTAAATCTAAAGTAATGGAACGGTTAGACGAAACCTAAGTTTTTGGGACAATACGTACACCACCCATCACAAGTGCTCCAGCGAGGGAGCCAGCCACGAACGACATGACTATGATGAAAGCTAGAGTGTTAGCAGTATCACGGTTGTTTGTCACTTGTCAGGTCTGATCGTCGAAGCCAAATACGTCACGACAACCATTGGAAGCAAACGACAAACGTTCAAGTTGGCTAGAACGATGATGACTCATGAGTCTTCGACAAGCGGCGGCGACAAGACCCTCAAGGAGACAGTCCATGAAAAATGATGACCCGGTCAATATGTACCGCTTCTTGACATAACTTCTTCATAACACTGCAATAGACCATGATATCATCCACAACTCCGAGTCTGTACGAAGTCGCTGTTAACGCCCAGGCCAGACTTCTTAGCTCCCCAGGTATATCCATTATGAACGGGCATTGAAGGCTCTCGCTGCTGGCAGGCACCAAGAAGGCCAGTGGCAACATCGCTCAGGAAACGTCACAGTCTTCTACTTGCCGCGCTGGACCGGTTCTTCTTGAGGCATTGGGCCAGCCCACCATACGCAAGGGCCTATTTGACTCGGAAGGACGGTTTCCACGAACATGCCGGGTTTGAACTCGCTGTTCAATGCGTCAGGGCCATCGTTGACAGCGGGTGCTCTGCCAGGGAACTCAGACTAGCCCCTCTGGGGCTATTCTACGTGGACTCTGTGGGTAAAGCTTGCATCAAACAACCCTAGTGCGGTGATATCTCCGTATTTATATAGACATCGCTGCCAATCTCAATCATGCTTCCTCGGGGCCTAGCGGTGAGCTAGCTTATTGGTAAATGCGACGTCTCCAGTTCTGTCCGAGACTTTACTCCCCCCCTCAATACCCAATATTCAATTTCCCCATTTGTGTTTGATGACAGCCGAGAACCTATTGGTTACAACTATGTTGTGCAAACTTCAAAGCGGTATTCAGCTTTTTGGCCCCGACCGTAATTTGCGGGTACGTCGATAACATGTGACTCACCTTAACGAGTCGCAACCATCATAACAAGCTCCACAGATATCATAAATGACTTGTCAATATATCTCTATACACTGTTCACAAATATATCCATACTGTTGTCCATATCAAAGACAACTACCCCTACTGTACAGCAGACGATTTACAAGTATCAAAAAAAGTGCTTGTTATCCAAGGACGGCGTCCTATCGCAACACCGAGTTTCATGTTAATGCGATCTGTATGATGCTAGATCGAAATAATGCGCGTTCCAAGCTCTGCCACGGAATACCGAAAATTTGGACCTGGGCTACTCATGAACATGAGGGACCGTGGAATCTTCAAATGGTGCGCTAGGGCAGCCAGATTTTTTGGATCAAATTGACCCTCGACAAACATCTACCAGAAGTCAGACGTTAAGCGCTAAGCAAGACCATTGTTCGCGCACCAGATCAACAGTAATCTCAGGAAATGCTTCGTCCAGAACTAAAAAAAATCACTGTCAGGATCACAGACAGAAATGTAGCACAATATACTTGCTTCTCGCATTGGCCTCCATCTCCGAAGGTATGTCTCCGCTATGAAAGTGCACTATCTTCAAATGTGATGTTTCTTCGTTACGCCGGACGTAAAGGATCATGTTGAACAAGTTGTTGATCTTCAGAAACAATTTTAGTAATCTTAATCTTCTACTTTGGTGCGCGTACCTCATCGGTTTTAACAAGCAAACAAACCTCCTGCCTACGCAGTTTTCTCATATGCCGGATCAAACCGTCACCCCATCCCTTGGTAAACTGCCGCCTATGTAGCCAGGGAAGCTGGTCATATGCCCAGTATACCCATCGCAATATAGTCACCTTATTTTGCGACGTGTAGAACAAGACGAGAAGGATGATGAGGTACAGAGCAAACCATCTAAAGCAGTGATTTAGCGAAATATCGCAACAAGGTGTAGGGGCCTTACCCTGCTATGGTAGGATCTATGGCCACGTTGCCTGCCGCTACGGTCACAGTGACACTGATAGCACCAGCGACGACAAACAGCGAACATTGGGATGCACGCGGAAGTCGAGGTCGTGAGAAACGGAGGAGTAAGAGGGAGACTGGGAAGAGCGCCATAACAGCCAACCACACCATCGCAAACCTGTCCAATGTCAGAATGTTGATACTAGTACTGAATTTGAGCACATACATCTGGGATATCACAATCAGGTTTGCGCCCGTGCTTGCATATATCAATGCACTGAATGCAATGAAGGAAATAACTGCGACATAAGGGGCGCCTGTCGCTGGAACCGTAGCAAGAAATACGCGAGGAAGAATGAGATCACATGATAGCTTGACAAGGAGCTCGCAAGCGCTCAAGATTCCTGAAATACGACATGAGTATGAATCACGAGGCGTAATTCTGGTTCACGAACCTGTAAGCACACCCGCACAAAGTACAACAACAGCGTCAACTACGACCATTATTCGTAACCACCGTCCTGCAACCTGGTCCTTCAGCATCACGCGTAGTCATCGAAAATTGCAAGCGTACACACCTTTTGAGCCAACAAACTAAGGATATTGTTGCCACTCTCGACCACGTCGAGAGGCAATAATGCCATAACAAGGAGCATCACCCCGCTAGTGAGGACAAGTGCAGATAAATGCAGGTTGCGCAGAACCTTGGGATAACAGTTCTGCTTCATTTTTGACGTATATGAGGGTGCGCCTAAGCTGTATTACATTACACTGTAAGGTTGCGAGTGGAAACACTTACATTCAAATCCAGTCAACCCTAGCATCCCTATACATACGCCATTGAACGCCTGTCGGGCTATAGCTGCTGGAGACAATCCGACGTGCCCCAACGACCAGTTGGATCTGAACTGACCCATCCCACCTCTGCCCCAAGCAATGACAGAAGCTACGATAAGCATGATCATTACCACAACCTTGCTCCGACATATGATCAAAAGTAGGTAGACAGTAAGAAACATCAGAACTCACGTGCATTACCAGCACACCAGTTGCTACGCGAGCACTTTCTCTCAAGCCCGAAAGGCTGACGACAGTAAATAACACGAAAACAAAGGCAGCACCGACATAGACTGGAAATGGTAGCGAGACTTCGCCTGCAAGATATGATGTCGCAGTTGCAGCTGAAACTACTGCTGTGGCTGAAAAATCCAAGAGAAGGAGCGCCGCCCCAAAAAGAGCTACAGATTTTGTAGATACATTGAGCCTGGTGGTAAATGGTCATAAATATTTCTATTCAGAAACAAAGACAACATACAGGTAGGTGTAGGGAGCGCCACTAATGGGAAGAGCAGAAGCCATTTCTTCCATGACGGGACGCCAAAGAAATAAAGTTAAAGCTGCCACAAATAGCGAAATAGGAGAACTGGAAGTAGTTGAGCGTGTTCAAATGTATATTGATTGCGAAATTAGCTCACTAGACACCCGCGAGAGCGACGACGCTTGGGAGAGTGTAAAATACACCGCCAAGTATGTCATTGGCCGCAAGCGCGCTGGCTGTAAATTGCCCAAGAACCTGCTGTTCTCGGAATGAGGTCAGTTCAACGTCAGCCTGATGTATATCTTCTGGTACGAGGGTGAGATGAGAGATAGAACCCCAGCCAGCAAACTCGAAATCATTGGTGAGATTCAAAAATCTCGAGGGAACAGCCGTAAATTTTGGCTTTCCTTCTTGACGAGAATACTGTCGCCGGAGAACAATGTCAAATTGAGACTGGTTGAACAAGGGGGGTGTGGCAACGAGCGAGCCAAGGTTTTTTCGAAAGTCTTGCTGGCTGTCAGCGAGGTCACTGAAACATCAGTTCAACGATGCCACTCACAGTTCGTACGAGATGAGGAGTTTTCACTGGAATGCAGAGGCACGAGTGAGATGCATTCCTTTTCAGACATCTGGATCGCGTTTACAGTAATGAATCGGCGAGGGGCAAGCGAGGAGGTCCCCTATTTAGCCTGACTGCGACAGTGAAGTACTAACCAGAGAACTGACTGGGTAGTATGAGTAACGTAAGTGCCCTAGCTTAGGCTGGACAGATGCGCTCGTGAACAGCGAGGCGAATAGAGCTTCGGTCGTGAGGTGACCCTAATTTTTCTTATCGATTTCATATATACGGCAGGTTGAAGTTAAGTTAGGACACTCGATGTTAAAACACCCAATGAACTTCACGGTATAGTAGTAGCACCTTCAAGCGTCGGGGATTTGCGCGGGCCTATATTTGATCCTACCTCCGTGGGTCCCTTGTTTGCCAATGCAATGCCCGGGTCCCGTACTAAGTACAAAATTTCCAAATTCTAAAGTTGCCTTATCCGAACACTTTCCCGCGCCACAAATGACGCGGTGCGATGACTCGCAAGTTGAAATTCTTCAACTCATACAGTTGACCCGACGTGTCCTCGAGCACGAGTTGTCTGCAAACGCCAGGGTTAGTACTGGCAACTACAAGGTCAGCTGCTCGCTAATGATCCGCCACCAACTTCTCTCTGCGGCACCTCATGGCAAGGCCATAGTCGTAAACGCTGGTGACCGGTAAACGTAATTCCCGACTTCCCATGATACGAATCCATGTATACTTTGATGCGTGGGAACCGGACTTGGCCAGCTAAGTTTCAAAGGCAATAATAATATGAAACAACAACATGCCAGTCGAACAATTCAGCATACTATCACCGACGGGGTTTTTCAAAATGGGTATTGGGTTTCAAAATTCACTGATCATCATATCGCAAGCTACGCACTGCACAAAAATATTCTGTGATTTTAGCCAGTGTTCTCTAATGTCTATAGAATACAGCTGTGAAGATCCTATAGAAAACATTGAGCAGTTGTGTTCACAATAAATCATCCATTGAAATATGTCACACCACTGAATGTTAATGATTGTAATGCTACAATCTATATACTTTGTCAAACAGGACAAAAACTATGTGAAAACAATCTCTGTCCTTATACAAATGATGCTTTGTTGGAGTTTGAATTGTTACCGCTTACCTACTTAGGATAGTCTTATCGTCTGCCTGCCCGTTTGGGTTGCATGGTCTGTGCGCAGTAGCCACACGTATATATAAGTAGCCGGTCCACCGCATGTATAGTCCTTACCAGTTCGTAGAATCACTACTTGATGTCTAGTTGCACTTGTGTGTCAGCACCTCTTAGGTGGAGAGAGTGCTGCCATGGTCCAGTTCCGAACCATGGTTTGGTCCATGGTCCAGCATTTTGCACGGACCAAACTGGAATGAGGTTCGTGGTCTGCTAACTCCTGTGCGGTTCATCTATAGGTTTGGACCTTCCTGAACTGTTCTGAACTCCGAACCGAATCTTCCTTGCAATGCCTTCAAGGCTCAATCACACGCTTATGGTTATTTTGACTTCTCGATCCTCAAGATTCGCCATGGTCACTTTGACCTTTGGCATTCTCAAGACTTTTTTTGACTTATCCTGTCCGGAGGTTCGCATCCCGCACACCCTGCTGTCCGATAACACCTACCTGTTCAATCAAGCTCAAGGTATGACTTTTCCATCAAATCAAGCGCAATAAACTGATTGACATATTATATTTCTTAGGATCCTTCAATGCATACTATGAATTAGTAGGAGATTGGGTATTCACATATAAAGGGAGCAAGGTGAGTGATATATTTTGACTACTGGTACAATGTCTGAACCTGAAGCACAGTGTGCCCTCAACCCAGATGGGTCTCTAAAGGACGCCAAAGACATCATTTTTTACAACGATCTTGATGATGCCATCCCCATTCCCACTCCATCCTCCTCTGCCCAGCCACCCACAGATGCCTTCTCTGTGCTACTGCAGACTGGACACAAACCAGTGCCACTTACTGCAGGTGCTCGATGCTCCATTCACACCTCTAAACCTTCTGCGCACCTTCGTGATTCCGACAACACTTGTTCTTCAACAAGCCGCAAGCGCGCATTATCTAGTGCAACTGAGCAATTAGTTAGGAAGAAGGTTGTGTTACAGCTCTCTGCTCCATTATCTGACAATGACACGGATATTGATACTGACCACAGTGCTGGTCAATCAGATGAGGCCGAGGACAAAGATGTACCAGCACCTGAGGACGAACCTGAGGATGAACCCAAGGATCTTCAAGACACCACCATCTGAGCCGCTTTATCAAAGAGTGAGCACAGCGCTGATATTCAAACAATCTTCACTTGCGACGACAAACATTGGGTCTGCAAACCTTGCAGGGATGCCGGTGAACTTGAAAGCAAGTACACATTTCGCGGAGGTATCTCTACGCTATGCACACACATTTGTCGGTATGTTCACATCTTCTTTCTCTTGAATGATCACTAATTATATATCTATCAGTAATAAAGGCCATTTTCAACTTTACAAGTCATGCTGCGAAGCCACAAACATCACCATGCACCCTCGAGCGGTTCCAACTGGTGAGGTTCAATCCCTGTGAGTTACATTTGCCATATTGTAGTGTGTTGTACTGATTCATAGATAGTTCAAGGCAATCCACCCTTGATGGCAGCCTTGCCCCGAAAGCGCCCATGTTTACCAAGGCAGGGCTTCTGGAGTATATTATGGAGTTGATTGTGACCGAGGACGAGGTGTTGCAACCCGTCGACAAACCAGCCTTCTGCAACTTGCTTCATTATGTCCGCCCTGCCCTTGCTGAAAGTGATGTGCCACACCGCACAAACTTATGGAGACTGTTAAGGCCCGCACAGTGCAGGTGGTCAACATCATTTGTGAGCATCTTGCAAAGGTAGACAGTCAAGTCTTGATGACCTTTGATTCATGGACATCAATCATCGGTGACCCTTTCTTCTCCATCACAGGCCACTATATCTGGAGCCCGGATGACAAACCCCAGCAATGGGAGTTACACCACGAGCAACTCAGTTTTGCGCACATCCAGGGCAATCATAGTGGTCAGAATACGGCTCGCTTGATTGTTGATACCATTGACAAATATGAACTACAAAATAAGGTAAAGTTTAGTCTACTACTTTGCTGCGCTGAATCTAATCAGTGTGTTGTAGGTCGGATGGATGACCTCTGACAATGCCACCAATAATGATACCACCATGAAAGCAGTTGGACAAGAAATCAATCCTGAGGGTACGCGGTGGGCACCTGATGCAGCACGCATCAGGTGCCAAGAACATATACTTAATCTTGCAGCACACCACTTTGTTGACGCCATCGCCCCCACACCTCAAGCTGCTCTCATGAAAAAAATTCGACAAGCACTTGATAATGGCAACAACGCTGACCTCGACACCTTAAATAAACAGTTTTCTTCCATGGACGTCAGTAACAACAATGACGATGACGACACCTTATTCGATACCGGCAATTCACTTGGCAAAGCTCTTGCCCTCATTGAGCAGGTACATGCTATATTTTTTAGACTATTCTTTTGCTGATCGATATCCTCAGATACGAAAGTCCCTCAAGCTCAAGCATTTTTCTGCAAGGCTTGCAAAGAGGAAAACTTGAGCTCTTGCAATGGATCCAGACTCGCTGGGCGTCGCTATATAAATGCCTGGACCACATGTTGATCTTGCGTCAAGTGAGTTTTTTTTTCTTACAATGTTTAAAAGTGGCCTGATTTTAACTAAATAGGCCATAAACCATTTCACCAACCTTGCCGACAAAAGCCATGAAGTGCCAACTCTTTGCAACAAGACTTACAACAACTTCAAGCTCGATCGAAGCGATTGGAGACACCTCAGGCTTATTCACCGAGTCCTCAAGGAACCAGCCACAGCTCAGCAATCATTCTCATCAGCAAAACATCCGACCATGGAAAACGATCCCTACGCTAGAGTGCCTTGCTGATCGATGGAGATCCATGGCAGTTGACCCACAATATCTTCCAATTGCTGATGCAATTAAGGCTGGACTCAAGAATGTCGACAAATACTTCAAGAAAACAAGTCAATCAGACATTTATTTTATTTGTCTTGGTGAGTACTATCAATTTCTAAAACTCGTTCTTATCTAATATAATTTAAGTTCTTGATCCAAACTATAAGCTCGCATACATTGAAGGCCGGTGGGATTTTGGAGATGTTACAGATGGCAGAGCTCGTCTGGAGGCCATGGTGAGTACTCGTCTATGTTGTTTTCCCACTCTAATCTTATTTTTTTTGTAGTTCGATGACTATTATACACCGCCGAGTTGAACACCTACTACCAATGAGCAATCCGCTCCGCCGACGAGAGCTACCAGTGTGTTAAGACCATGCACAAAGGGTAGGACTGATTCTGAGGGGCTTGGCTTCAGCTCGTGCGCTGCGCCCCTTACCCGAGTATGTGCCCTTAATTTCAGATTGGTGTCCGAGGAAAGTCCGAAGATGTCCGAAGGACATCCGAAGGCACGGGAAACTTCGGAAGGACTTTCCGGACGGGTGCAAGTAACTTCCGGATGAGTGCAGGAAAGTTCCGGAGGAACTTCCAGAAATTATGATGAGGTTTCATCCTGATACGGATATGTATAATGGCTACTCGGGACTTGTCCTGAGTAGAAGTAAACAGAGGAAAGGCTGCAAGGACAAAGTCCGAAGCAGAATAGGTCCGGAGGACCGCGGGAAAGATCCGGATGAACTTCCGGAAACTATGGAGGATCGGATGAGTGGATGAGTGGAGTATCGGATAAGTGGAGCTCCGGCCTAGGGAGAAACTCCCTAGGCCTGAGATGGATAACAACTAAGTTGGAAGACTAGAACTGATATGAGGACTTAGGGTGAAGACTAGTGCGAGGACTAATATGATATTCAGACTGAGGTACTACAAGACATATACACGAGTTTATATACTAAGAGAAATAATGGAAGGATCAATAAGCAGAGTCCAAGGCTATGTATGAAGCATATGCAAAGGTTGACACATCTGGAAAAAGCATTTTGACTCGTAGCACCATGCCAACACTATGTGACGCCTGGGAGTCTCAGTAGCTCCTGGTAGACGGACATAACACCAGAGCCACAGTAGTCATATGGCTGGTATCCCAGAGCTACAGGTAGTCTACTCGGTCAATGCGAAGCGCTATGTATAACAATGCAACTATGTGAACAACTATCCCCGCGCTGTAGAAACAACAATACTGAGAGGAACAAAGAAATGCTCCTGACTGTATCTAAAAAGTTGTAGGTCGTGCGTTGCCTAGTCTGCGATACTTGAGATGGCAAGTGCATTCGACCCTAAAGGGGAAGCAGGTGCAGCGGAGATCTAGAGGTACGCGCTTCAGCGAAGCGCGAGAAAGCGCAGGTGCGCGCAAGGTACGAAGGCGCGGGAACGCGCGCGCGTATTAGCGCGAAGCGCGGGAAAGCGCGCGTGTGTAAGCGAAAATAAGAGAGACTAAACTTATGTGAAGATATAAGCAAGATAAAGGATGTGAGATGTGTTGTGCTAATGAATAGATTTCTACTGCGACTTTCTAAGTAGTAAGTACTAGGTAAAGTTGGGTGAAAAGTAAGGTAAATAATAGTATGTACTGCTGGCGCTTATATAGCGCGCCTAAGCGCGCTCATGCGGAGCCGAAGCGCTACCGAGTAGGTATGTAAAAATATATATGAGTGAGAAACTATGATAAAAATAAAGGTGGAACTATGCTAATAAAGGAAATGGAAATATACGCACTAGGGAGCTTGGTGGACAGTGGATGGATGCATCTGGATGGCTGGCGCTATAGGGCGCGCAAGCGCGGGAACGCGCGCGTGCGTATACATCGTGAAGCGCGGGAATGGTGCGCGCATGGCGCGCGTTGCGCGGGAAAGCTGCGCGTCATATAGGAATCACTGTGGATGGTACACAGAGTGATGCTGCGAGTTGGTGCTGTATACTCCCTAGTGTAAAGCGCCATATCACACTATGAGATGCACGAGTCTCTACAGCGCGTGATGTAAACTTGCTATGAAATGTTCTATAAGCGCTCCATAGTGTCAAACAGGTAGAAATTAATGTAAGGATTGACATAAAACTCATCAGCGAGCTCGAGAACATCACTATTGATCCACGACACATCTACTTTGCCCGATCCAAACCTAGGAAACAGATGACCTCCTTGCAGAAGGTCTTGAACACTGACGACCGCTGCGAATCGCCGTTGGTTACGAGTCGACCGTGCCACTCGATAGAGTCTGGTGGCGGCTTCCGGCTCACGCAGAGGTCGAAACCATTCAATGTAAGCCAGGGGATGAGGAAATTCACCGTACTGAGATGGTAATTTAAATATTGCACGTATTTGTGCGAGCCGCAACCCTGCATTGGCGTCAGCATCATACTTTGAGTGCAATTGCAAGACATACCATCAAAACCTGTACCGCTCTCCCATGACTGGCGGTCCTCGACAATGAATGCCACATCAAAATGTGCTGGTGATGGCGGCTTGCGATGGTTGCGATTGGGGATAGCTGGGTGAGCTCGAATCCTATTCAGCCGCTTGACATCGCTGATGTGATTTCGCCGAGGGAGAAGAAGTAGCACCAATTTAAAGACATCGAACCGATCATACTCGCTGGCAGAGATGGATGAATGAGGAAAGTGGCGAGCGAGGAATGTTTGCAAAGCAGGTATGAAGTCAATGGCGCCGAAGTCTGTTTGCAGACGAGACATGGAGACATTGACGAAAGGGCATGTTTTGGCCACGCGATAGCCATGCGACTTTAGTAGACCTGATGGAGTGAACTGAGATAGCAAAACATCTGGAGTGTGCGTCATGGTATCTGAATCTGCCAACTCCTCTTCCTCATCCTCTTCCTCAAGTGCATCTAAGTCTGAGTCGGCGACAGGATCTCGGCTTTGGGATGCAACCCAATCAAGATAAACACCATGTCGAAATACAGCTTCTTGAAGTTCGAGCCAGTGCGTCATCTGCACAATATAATCAACCTTGCTGCTCGCCTGGTAAGCATCCTTCGCATAGTCGATGTGCAGGCGTTCAGGGCTCTCCGAGTTGAAACCATCAGCACTTCCCAAAGATCGGATGGACTGCACATAGTGGCACATTGAATGAACCTTCGGAATGTTGAAGTGCTCGCGAAGGCCGTGCTCAATGAAGACGGCCTTATTTGCATGAAACACATTGAGTGCTTCCTGCATTCGCATGAGAGTTGTGTCTGTGTGAGCATGGTATTGAGCATAATAAATAAAGTCGAGAATAGCACGAGCAGCCTGGAACACACGAGGTTCAACAGCACCTGCAATGACACCCAAAACAACGCGCTGCATCTCTTTATGCTCCGTGCAAGTCCACTGAGAGACATTCGAAATTCCCCGTTTGAAGTGACGGAGACCGTGAAAATTGGACATAGCTTGGAAATGTGCGTCGAACTCTGCGTCGGAGATGATTGTAGCACACCAACTAACGATGTGGTCCTTGAAGACTCCCTTATGGAGCTGGTGGAGAATATCTGGAGTGATGCAGGTGAAAATATCGGTGTGGGGGAGATACGCCCAGAACGGATAATGAATCGCACGCAGACCGTGATCGTCGAAAAGGTGAGGGTCTTCACCATTTTGATGTCGTTTGAGAGTTGCTCTGGTCTCAGTGACATTGCGGAGAGGTGAGTCAACATGGTCTCCTCGTTGTTTGGTTCCCACAACACAACGAGGGCAGTGATTTTCTTTGCAACACACAATAAGGCACTGCTCAGGGTGATCTGCAATATACGCTGCAAGGATCGGAAAAATGTGTCGGATATTCCCATCAGCGCAGATCATCTCGACTCCACAACGACCCGCATCAATCAGTGATTCCATCACCAACCGCATGCAGTTATGGAACAGTCGATAGCGACCAAGTTGCCGTCCTTCATCATCCTTAAAATGCAGCATCTTCGATATTGGTAAGTATCCTATCAGCACTGTTGCATGCTTGGAAGGCTGACGGCGGATGTCCTTCTTGATATTCCCAATTGTCAGATAGATCGGCCAGGCTGCTTTATCTCCTCGAAAACGGGTCAGATTTGTCTTGTCAGACGCGAGGATCATGGGCGCAACAACAGCACCAGGTGGAAGGCATTCCTAAATCATGGTAAGCTGTCCTCGTATTCCAGTTTTCATTTGACTGACCTGCATATTCCACCACCAGTCACCTGTCCACATCTCGTCATATACCCGCGTCTTTCCTTCAGGATCCTCGTAAACTTTTTCTGGCAGGTACGCAAGATATTCCTTGAACGCGGGATTACCAACCAGCTCACGCACACACTCTACAGGATCCCACCGCCATAGTTCATGTCGTTCAGTGAGGAACTCCTGACTCCCATCCACTCGATCACCCGGCGATGTCACAATATCGCACATCCAACCCAGTCCTTTCGGTAACTTGTCAAGTTTCTTTCGGAATGTATAGTTACTCGTATAGCTTGGCTGAGTGCGATTTTTGGTCTAAGTGGGTGCGTCATGACGGCTGATTTGTAAACATGAACAAGAACACTGACAATGGCGAGTTTCAGGAATTCATCAGTTGCTTTTTGGTTGACTCTCTTTGCAAGCCACTCTGCAAGACCCCATTCTTCCTCATCACAGAATGGTGCCCATGGATTTGCTTCAAGACCCATGTTAATCTGATCCTCCCGAATTTCTTCGAAGGCCGTCTGTCCTGCCCCTAAAACATCTGCGGCAGGGTGCGGGAACATGTTTGCAAATCTTTCTGGGTGCTCTTCATCTACTACTTCTTCCACTCGAGCCCGTTTCGATTGCGGGGCTTCAACAGGCTCATACTCAGCTCTCCTCACTCTTGGTGGAAATTCATAGTCTATATCTTCAGGTATGTCATAATCATATTCCGGGGGTGTGACTGGACCTGACGTATCTGGTTGCTTGTCTGGTTGTTCAGAAACCGTGGCCTTTTGCTGACTCGAGACGAGGAGTTCCCATTGTTGCCGACATCTTGGAGTATTTTGAATGTGCAAGGTAACATCTTTCCGTCGGGCCAGTTCTTTGAGACAAAAGTTACAGCGTGGTTTTTGTGTTGTCCGCACCATTATGGAAGATGCAAGAGGTAGCTAGCTCATCTTATTTCTTGTATTTGTCTTGGTCTCACTTGAGTAAAACAGCCTACCATGTCTCGGACTGAAACGGACTGACATCCCGACTCCTAAGCTCCGTTGTCTGACGCTGTCGGGCATTGTCGGTAGATCACTTCCTCATCGGGCCATAGTAGGCATGTATTTTTCTCTCTCTGTTCTTTCCATCCCTCATCTGATCTGATCTCGTTGATCTACACAGAACTACTAATGTCTTCAGCTGCGAGATCTGCTGCTGCCGAGCGGGCTGCTAGCCGCCGTGATCGCCGTCCTACTGAGAGGGCTCAATATGTGTGTAAGTCAGCCCTGTGTCAATCTCTTATCATGACTATTGATTGAACCTTCATTCAAAGCCGAGACCCACAAGGATAAAGAAAATCGACAACGCCAGCAGGTTGATAAAGCCCAGGAACGTCAAGAAAAGGCCCGCCAAAAGGCCAGTAAGGCTGCAGAACGCGAAGCATACCAGAAAAACGGACGAACAGGTTGGTGCATGTTTCATTCATTGTATTACCTCGCTGATGCCATCAATGTTTCACTAGCACTTTCCAACACACCACTGCGGGGATCTGTTGCTCTGTCGGTTCATGACCCTGGAGTGAGCCTTTTTTTTCTGTATGTCATTCTTAATAACACTTCGGTATGTAGTTCTCAAGTCAAACTGTTTTGACGCCGGCGAGGGACCCAAACTTAGTGCCACGTAAAAGTGTAGTGCCCCCAGCGCCACGCAGAATTTCTATGAGTGCTGTATGTTTATTTTGCATTCTGGCGCTTGTGATTTGACTAACATTCTTCAAGATGACACCACGCCCCCACATGTTGACACCCGAGAAGGCTGCCGAGCTTTTGCGCCTTTGTGAGGCCGTTCTTTCCAAGCAAGCATGTAGTCCCCTGGCTGCAAGTGTTTCCCACCCAGCTTCGGCTCTCAACAACATCGTTGCTCGCTCTCCCAGCCCTACTGATGAAGATATGTTTGATGATGCCATCGCAGGCCTGGTGGACTTCGACATGGATGGCGAATGTATGGACAACAAGGATGAAGGTAGTACTACTTGTAGGTCCCCAACACCTAGTGTTGAGCCAGGGAAACGTCGCCGCAGACCGTCGGACAGTGACAACGAGGATGATGGGCAAGTTCGCAAGGCTGTCAAGATCCAGGAAAGCAGGGGGCGACCAAAGGCTGCTGACTATGAACCATCTGTTCGTACAATTTTTGGTGTTGCTTGGGCACTATATCGCGGGCGTTTCTGCACAGAGGGAGCTATGCCCGATCGGATGCAGGAGGTCACTTGGGCGAAGTTAGCATGGAACGATGCATGTAAGAGGCTACAGACTCGTGTCGCTTATGACGCCGAGATTATTAAAATGGTCTGTTATTTTTCTGATAGATGATCTCTCTACTAACTGTTCCAGTACTGTGTAGATCACTTCCCGAGGCTCTCACTTTCGTGGTGAGGTCAAGAGTAAAGTCCGACCATATGTTGCAGATGAGTATGGGTTCGAGACGAGTACAAAGCAATCTGTGATTGATCGCAATGTCATGCTCGCGCGGGAGCTCAAGAAGGATTTTGGATTTGTTTATAAGGTAAGTAATCATCATTTTTTGGCACCAGTGGCTTAGTGTATTATCAGACTCGCACTCCTGATGGTAACAAAGGATTGTATCATGCGAAGATCATCCAGAAGGTGGTGAATACGATGTGGTTTCGTGATAAGAAGGACGAAGGTGTGCTTTACCCTGAGTTCTACAAACCTTTCCCAGAGGTTGGGCTTGCATTGCTCTTGACTGCGGTGCGTTTTTGAGGTGCCATGTTGAAGTTCGCGTACTAATGTCTTCTGTTGTTAGATTGAAAGCGGCATCGACGAGTGGAGCACTGGTGCTCAATCAAACAAGATGTTCACCGTGGATGAGTATCAGGGTGTGCTCGATGAGCATCTCAATAACCTCGCAGATTTTGATGAGCATACCAAAGCTCAGGGCCTGCTTCCAAAGTTGTTGTCCCGTCTTCATGACAATGGCCGGTATGTGACATTTCAAAGCTGGGGATGATATCTAATTGGTTTTTTCTTGCTAGCATTCATTCGAAGGCAGATCCGCTTGGTCACGACACTGGCCGCACTATGGCACGTAGCACATTTGATGCCGCCATCGAAGAGTACAATGACCGTGAGGGTATCTTTAGTGATTCTGGGGATGATGAGTAGTAGTAGGATGCTTATTTATTCACCATTCGCTCAAGAATTCTATATGTTTTTCATGTTTATCGAGTGTTTTGAGAGATGAAACGGCAACTATGAACTGATACTGCTGACTATTGTATGTATGACTTATGCTACTGAGTGCAATTTAGCACGACTGGTGGGATGCGGCTACTTGACTCCACAGCAATTGGGCGCTATCACAAACTATATTGTATCAACACAGTACTACCGAGTGTTCCAGAGAGGGGGGGGTAGCTACTCAACTACTTGCACAACATAGGCTATATAGTGTTACCCTGCAGCCTCACTTCTTCCTGATGCAAACACGAGTCGGAAATGAACATAGGTTAACGGATCAGTAAGCATACCGGTAATAGATATAACCGAGGTACCGGTAACAAGGAATACCAGATAGGCTGTGTTAATGTTATATGCACAGGAAATGAATTATGAAGCTTATCATATATCGGATAGGAAACAGATCTATACATCGGATCGGACCGGATCGGATATGGTCCGGACGAGATGCGTGGATATATAGGATGTGGCATTAGGGCAATGGGACAAGGATGAATGATGCAGGCTAGCTGCGAAGGAAAAGGGATCTGAATGTGGACGTGTGGATATGGATGTGCAGAGGTGCAGGGATCCGGATGGGTAGAGGACTGGAGACATGGATAGGACATCCGAAGGTCCGAATGAGGCGTGGGAATATTATCGGATGTAGGTCCGGAATACGGGATATGACACAGTGTATGGAAGCACTATGGCGACGATTGGATGCGTGAGGCTATTAGGACGCATAAGACATCAGACCACCTTACTCACAATCCTCATCGAGAGCTCAACATGTACTTGTCTTTGCCACTAGAGGAGACTGATGACATTGTGGCCTGGTGGGGGGTAAGTTTTCTTTTTGACTTGTTTTTTCGCTACTAAATCTACTTAATAGCTTCACTCGCTGCAATACCCTACACTCGCGTGCATCGTGCAAGACTATCTACCCATTCAAGGCAGCTCTGTTCCTTCTGAACAAGCATTCTCAAGCGGAGGAATCACTTCGACTATCCGACGCAATGCACTCGTGACTGACACGTTCACTGCACTACAACTACTGAAGGGAGCATATAGGAATGGGCATCTATCTGCAGAAGTAGAGGCTGAGGAACATGCGGCTTCATTGGACATGTAACTACGAGTACAAATATCTTGCCTATGTTTTTTTTTCCTGGCTGTAATTTTTTTGTGTTTGGTTCACGTTCAGACTGAGAAAAAACCGAACCTGACTGCTGCAAACCGTTCGCAAAGGTTCAGTCTAAGGTTCATTGAAATAACTAGAACTGAACCTTGGTCTGGTTTTTGGTTCTTGTCCAACCACCTCTGAACCGAACGGAACTGGACCACGGCAGCACTAGTGGAGAGGAGCAGCGGCCCACACACTCCGGTGTGGGAATGTAAGCCTGCTGGGATCGTTTACTCATGTCTATAGTCTAGCCAACTCGACCTCTGAAGCTCGACTTTCCTTCATGCTTACCACTGCGATTTCTATATCATGATTGAGTGAGGGCAGAACCATGTTATCAGTGAAGTTGTTGAAAGAGTGGATGCTGCACCGTGACTATAGTGCAGCATCAATTATAATCTCCGCTCAAAAACTGTACATCGAGTAAGACCTGTCGACAGGGGAGGTGTATCTTATAGCAGCCTCCAGATGGGCCAGGTCATCACTCACCAGCGCAATGACCTGGACTGTGAGTTTAATCCTCGTTGGTATATATCCTACATCCAGTCTTTGATTATACACTTTTGTGAGCATCCTCACTTTCAATCTATTACTATCATATCCTTTCCACTTAATGCACATACATACATTTAGATTTACTTACTGTGGATAGCTGGTCTATATAATGTACAGTACACTTGCTCATAACATATAGTGATGGGAGCCACCCTTTCTCTATACACTATGAAAAATATACAAGATGGAATAGTCCCCACAGTCACAGCATCATCGCATGTATTCAACAAGTCGTCGGTATCTAGTCTACTTCATGTTCCAGAACATGTCTAGAGTAGCCTACTTGGCATTATGAATTTCTTCACATTGCAAAACCCCTCTGAGCATACAAAGATTGTGAATAATTATAATGGTGCCGGGTCATGCAGCCTGCCGGAATGTCCTGGCACCAGGAGTCCAGCTGTTACGCACTCAAATAGATCTGTTATACGGAGCCCTAAGAGGGGCGTCGTCCGCTAACGTTCGTGACGTAACCGGAAGGGTCCGGTGTAGCGACTGAGACTGGCGACGTCGAGTCGGCAGATATCAGAGATGCGCGTGTCACGTGACTTCTAAGACGGATGTCTTCAAAGTCACTGACGATCTCAAAGTAAGGACAGTCTTGTCCGAACGATGAGTAGTCGATCGAGGTGGACTTAGGCGCGATGAGCACCTAAGAAAAGATACTAGAGACTGAAGCTGAGGGGGCTTCAGAGGGAAGTATGTTCGAGGGAAGATTGAGTAGATTCAAGTTAGGGAATCTAGTACAGAGTGACCGACTACTTATACTAAGTGGAAAGGGTTAAGGGCAAGGCTACCGTACTGTAGGTAAGGGCAAAGGGGAGACGGAAAGGGTATAGGTACGATGGTGGCAGAGCCTGATTAGTGATGTAAGGTCGAATGCGGAATGAGACCGAGAAACGTTGGAACGAGCCAACGGTAAATGATACAATGTGCAGCATGCACGAGTCAAAGGAAAGATAAGACAAGATAAGGAAAGCCACATTGGTGGCACGAGTCAGAACGAGTCATAGCCCGAAGGCACGTGCGCACGTTGGTGCGATAGGAGGGGGATGAGGGACGGGAACGGTCCCGAGGATCCGGTCAACGGATAGTCGGTAGAGAAGTGCGAGCCGGAGGCATACGAGGGCGAGGACGAAGGGGAAAAATGATAGGGGGGCCATGTAGCCGATGTTACTTGTAACATTACCCCCGTTTCAAGGTAGAGTTCCACGAACTCTTTAATCGTCGTCCAGAGGAACGTAGTCGTCCTGGTTGTTATACCATGCGGGGTCGAAGTCGAGGTCTTCGAGCCAGGAGGCGGCTTCAATTGCATTCTCTTCGCGTTCTTGCTCAAGGCGAGCAGCGTCCTGGTCATACGCAGCTTCAAGCTGCTGCATGTCCCTGTAGAACCGGTCGGAAGAGGTTCCACGGCGAAGGATCTTTCTGCCGTCGAGTCGAGGGCAGAAGGGAGTGAGATGTTTTGGGGCAAATTGCCCACAAATGCGGCAGAAGTATTGTGCGCAGTGCTTCTGTTTGTGTCCGTAGACACGGCACTGGCGGCAGACAACGTTGCTGCGGTAGACCTGGGTGGTCTCGGTGGCATCACGACGCGCGTCGTTGATGGCGTCTTCCTGGGCTTCCTCTCGAGGATAGTGCCTAGTGAAGTTCTGGGTGCGCGGTCGATGCGCGTGGGAGAGGGGTAGTCCTAGGGACAAGATGGATCGTGCACGAGCACGGTGATTTCGGCGTTGCGGAGTGGGAAGGGGTTCCGGAGAACCAATAGAGAGGTGTGGGACCGTCTCGGTGGGTACCCAATCGTCGGGGTTGAGAACAGGTGATGCGGGAGGGCATTCATCCAACTCTGGGATGATGATAGAGATGGTGTCGGCATCGAGGATGGGGGAGGGGTTACGTGGAGCGTAGAGCTCGCGTTCATATTCGTTATAGAGACGGTCGATCTCGGGGTTGGTCAACTGGGTGACATTGGGGATCTGCTCTGGTGATTCAGAGCGGGGTAGTTGGGGAAGGAAGGGGGTCGGAGCTCTGTCATAGACAGCACGCTCGACGACCGCAAGCGGGTCGGGAGGGGGATTAAATGCCCGCTCCTCCTCGACGGCCATGACGGCGGCATGGAAGTTTCTAAGTTCAAACAGATTTAGCAAGGCTCGTTTGATCTTGCCTTGGTTATATCTGGTCGAGACGGTGGATAGGGAAGTCTCCCTAGCCAGGTCGATCCTGGCGATATCGCCGGTGAGGGCGTCGGTGGCCCGGAAGGCCTGGACGAGGTTCATGGTTATCTCGTCGTTGGTGCAGTTGAGATAGTTGTCGAGTCGGATTGCATACTGGGGATCGCAGATGACTGCTTCCCAGTAGGCCCGTTGCCTGTCTTGGACAACTGAGCGAAGGGATGGTCGTCGGAAGACGGTGTAGGAGGGCCTATCATGGCCATGCGTTGGCTGGTTCGTCGGGTCGGGGTCGGAGGCAGACGCATGAGAGGTAGCGGATCGGCGCGAGGAAACAGACGACGCTGAGGCCGACATAGTGGAGCGTCTTTCCTTGGGTAGTGGCGTAGGTGGGGTATTGGGTAGTGGGTCTTTGTTTGTCGACGGGTGTGGATTTCTTGGGGCGGTGGCGATTGCGGATTCGTTGGCGATGGAAGGCTTTGGTATCGGTGTGGATGGGTTCGCTGGTGGGGTCAGCCCTAGTGTAGTGAGGGCGGTAGGAGAAGTTGCGGTGGCGGTTGTTGATCAACATGAGATGGCGATTGAAGCGATCTTGAGTCGCTTCTTATACGCCTTCAGGAGCTCCGCTGCGGACTTCAATTCTGTTTCGGGGAGCCACGTTCGTTCGGAGGCAGGATAGCCAACCCAAGACACGAGGTACCGGCGACGCGATCCGGTACCCTTGTGTTGGAGGATAGCTTCCACTTCGTAGTGTTCCTCTCCATCGATAAGATCAGGAGGAGGTTCGGTGAAATTCGGTCCATGCACGTCTGTCTCCTGATAGGAGGAAAGTTCCGAGGCATGGAACGTGGGGTGGATACGCCAGCTGGCAGGCAGCTTGAGCTGGAACGTGATGGGGGAGAGGACCTTCTGGATTGGGAAGGGTCCATATCGTTTCGGGGCAAGTTTCCTAGAAGGGAATCCGGTGATCAGGTTCGTGGCGGATAGCCATACCTTATCACCAACGTTCCATGGCTTGTAACGCTGGCCATAGGAACGAT